TGCAAGTAAACAATTGGTGCTCCAAGAAATCCATAATTCAAATCCTCCAAGAATCAAAACTCATATTTTTTATCTAATTATCGTGACTTTCTTACAGATTGTCAGTGAAGGATTAAGTCACCAAAATCGTTAAATCATTGGCAAAAATCTCTTCAACGTAATTCGTAAAGTATTGTTACTAAAAATGTTAAACGATTCATGATAAAAGGATCGTAAATCCATCGAGTAAAGCATCTCCGATTGATCGACGAACAAGCCATCATCCGGAAAAGGACGATCCGCCGGGAGACGAGTCGCCACCTCCTGAGAGCGTACCAGATGCGATGAAGAGCCTCTTCTTATTACACAGATTTAAGGATGAAGCTCCCTAACACGTGTCTCACTTCCATCTAGCTCTTCTCCATCAAGTGGTAACTGCCAAAGAGCTGCAAAGTCGCTATTTTTCCGCTCCATCAAGTGATAGTCGCCAAAGAGCTGCAAAGTCGTGGTTTTTCTGCTTTGTCGAGTGATAGCCCCCAAAGACGATTTGATGACTCATTTTATTGATCACTAGACTTTGCAAGGAGATCTAGAGATTGCCCTTGTCTTTTTTGTCTAAGGAGAGCCTTCGATGATGTGGACCCTATATGACAAACCTCTTGAACATTTAGGATTCTGCTACATCTCCGTCACGATGTCGGAACTCTATTTTCTAGCTTAGGATTCAACTTGATTTTCACTTCATTTGGTGATAATTTGTGTGATTTAAATTTATCAAAATATATTTCATTCAATTACGATTCTTTCGACTTTAACAAATCTTAATTTGATCAATTAAATCATCTGTAATCTCTTACATAAGAATCACTAGGCGAAACTCTATTTCTTCTTGATTTACGTTCGTCGGGTGTTGACGTCCGCACCCTTATTTCCCTTTTTTGTAAATTTTAAATATATTTTATTTTCATTTCCTAGTATAAAATTCATAGAAAATAGTATTCTTTGATGAAAATTTTGAATAATTACTCGATATTATATTACATTCTTGTGACTAACTTAGAAAATTACCACTATTTTAGAAGTTTTATTGAATTATAATTGATATACTTTTTTCAAAAATACTTCTAAATATTTGAAAATTTGTATTTTCTAGTTTTATAAATTTTAAATTTGCATGATTTACTATATATCGATTAAGTGACGTCACTCACCTAAGTCTTTGTAATCAAATAATTATCAAGAAAATATGAAAGAATCACCAATTGACTTTGAAAAGTTAAGTGAGATTAGTCTCATAATATAAATGATGCTTTCATTATCACGAGTTAATAATTAGTAAATAATATAGTTTTAGCCTTATCTCATGATAAATAAACTTGTATTAAATTGTGAAAAATAGTTTTCAATTGATTAAAGTAATTTTTTGGTTAATTATGTGATTTTCTAAGAATTTATATGATTTTGATAGTCTTATTTTTGAGATAAATAAAGAAAAAGAAATAAAAATAAAAATATAGCAAAATAGGGGTACTTGATGGCAGCCAAGCATACATACGGGTCGGAAGCACAATTAGGGGGAGCTACAAACAAGGGCTCAAGTGGCTAAGACTAATGGGGGCATGTGTGTGCCACTCCCCTTCCACGTCATCGGTGGCCAGTCGAATGTGGGGCACAAATGATGTGGGACTAAATCTGCATTATACTTTCCCTCAAAAGGCTTTGAAAATTTTAATACTTAAACTATCTCTTAGTTATAATAAAGATATACCATGATGATGTTACTTGATAAGGGCATTAGAATACTTATTTCAATCTCTCTCATGTAGACAAACAACTAACATGGGTTCAAATCCTCTCAGAGCCAAAACTTATACTTTTATTTGATTATCGTGACTTTCCTACAGATTGTCAGTGAAGGATTAAGCTGTCAGAATCACTAAATTATCTATAAAGATCTCGTCAACACGGTTCACAAAGCATTGTTACTAAAATTGCGAAATGATTTGCGATAAAAAAAACACAAATCTATCGAGTAAATTATCTCCGATTGATCGACAAATAAATCATCGTGAGAAAGAAGATAATTTACTAGGAGACAAGTCATCACCTGCATTCAGTTCCTCTCCATCGAGTGATAGCCGCGAGAGAGTCGCAAAGTCATTGTCTTTCCTCTCTGTCGGGTGACAGCCAGTGGAGATGATTCGACGACTCATTTCATTGTTCCCTAGACTTTGCAGAGAGATCTAGAGATTGTCGGTGTCATCCTTGTCTAAGGAGAGTGTTTGAAACTATGGATACTATACAATGATCCTCCCGAACACTCAAGATTTCAGTGCATCATTTATGCATCGTCACAGCAACACTGAAACTCTATTTTCCTACTTTCAACTTATTTTTTGCACCATTTAGTGATAGTTTGTGTAATTTAAATTTACTAAACTATACTTCATTTAATTACGATACTTTCGGCTTTTACAAATCTTAATTTGATTAATTAAATCATCTATAATTATTTACATAAAAATTATAGGGCAGAACTCTATTTTTGTTCAATTCACATTCATCAGACATTGATGTAATCTTGACGTCCGCACCCTTATTTCCTTTTTTTCTGAATTATAAATATCTTTTATTTTCATTTCTTAGTATAAAATTCATTAAATATCATATTCTTTAAGACAAAATTCTGAAAAAATATCTAATATTATATTACATCTCTATGATTTACTTGGAAAATTATTACTATTTATAAATTTTTTATTAAATTATAATTTATATTATATTTATTAAAAATTACTACTATTCGAAAATTAATATTTCTAGTTTGATAAATTTTAAATTTATGTGATTTACTATACAATGACTAAGTCACATCAAATTTTGGTGTTGTTGTTGAGGATGTATTACATAATATTTAGTATTTTTCTTTTTTTATCTTAGAGTACACAAAAGAATTAACTCTTGTTTTATTTTTTTCTTGCCAAAAAATTAGAAGAAAAAGAAACAAAGAGAAGTAAGACAAGGACTAGAGCATACTGAAGGAGGGTAATAATTATTAGACTTTTTCTTCAAATTTATTGATTTTTATGTATGGTAGAAGATCCTTGCATCTAAGGTTAGAAAATCTTTTTACTATTTAATTCAAAACTAAAAATCTGAAAGAAAAACTAATCTTGATGGATCATAAAGGAAATATAGGTCAAACTGAGAACAATATTATGGCCATGAAAAGTCATTATATCCCTAATCATTTTAAAGAGCATCCAATATTAGAGCCTCGTTAGCACCCACTATTAAATTCGAAATAAATCTAAGAATTTTTTAAATGGTCCCTAATTTTTATGCATTGCCTTTAAAGAAACCTCATCAACATTTAGAAAAATTTCATATGATATGTGATTTAGTTAATCTCTCTTAAGTTACCCTAAAAATTATTAAGATAAAATTATTTTCTCATAGACTTAAGAACAAAGCTAGTCATTGGCTATCCATATTAGATAGAGAATTAACTAGCTGTAAAGACATTGAATAGACATTTCTTCAATTTAATCTCTTAAGAAAAATTGAAAATATGAGAAAAAATATATGGAGTTTTTCTCAAAGATTAGGAGAAATTTTGCATAAGATATAAGAAAAATTTGTTCAAAGATTTACTTAGAAAGTTTTCTCATCATGTTATATCCAAGTGGCAACTTAATAGAATTTTTATAGAGAATTATAAAAGAAACATAGAAATATGATTGATTATATATGTGGAGAAACTTTTATGGAGTAACCCCCTAATGAGATTTATAATCTTTATGAGAATTTAAGTGAAAATTCTAGAGATCAAGCTTCTTTTGAATTATATGACAGAGATAAGAAGAGATGAATTTATGAATTGCATCATCAAAATGATTCTAATTTACAAAATGAGGTTAATTAGATTAATCAAATATTAGAAAAACTTGATTTACTTATGGACAATATTAGAAAGCCTCTTAATCCTCAATTTAATTCAAATAGTACATGTCCTATGTATGGTGAAAATGATTATTCTGAATTTTAATACTATAATTTAGATTAATCATTTTCCCTACACAAGAAGTGCAAGTAGCTCACAGTTTTAATAGAAATAAGGAGCCTTTTTCTAATTCTTATAATCCTAATTAGAGGAATAATTTTCATGGAGAGACCCAAATAATATTTAAAGTTTAGAAACACTTAGACCCAATTCTCTCTCTCTCACATACGACGACTTCTTAAAATTAACCTCCCTAAGTGGGAGAGTTGCACTAGATCTCATAAGAACTCTAGAGTTAAGTGTTGTCAAGAGGCACCCAGCTCTGAAAAACAACCTACCAAGAGGCAGCCCTACCCCACCATGTTGAGAGGCACTACTAGCATCTATCTCCAAAGAATGTGCTAAGAGGCACCAAAAAATGCTTGGGTGTGTGAAGTACCAGGATGGGTGACATCTCGAGAAGTTCGACCCAAGACAATTATCCAAAAAAAAAATAAAAATAAGACCCAATTCAAACTTTTAATTTCATCCAAAACAAAAAAACAGATTTCAGAAAAACTTTTAATTATAGAGGCTCTTGGGAATAAGAGAGAAGAAGGACAACTACTTAGTCAACCTATAGAAAATCTAGGGAACCGTCCAACAATAGGACTTCAGCAAGAGGAGTCTAGTAAGATGAATCTAAGAAAAAAATCCATAAAATGAAAATCTTAGAACAGTGAACATATTAAGGAGTGGGAAGATTTTACTTGATCCTTATCTCCAAATATTAGAAGAAAAGGAAAACATGGACAACCCAAAACAAAATCAAATAGGAGTAGAAGAGGATTTTATAGATTTTACCATGAAAATTCCAAAAGAGAAGACAACCATTCCATTTCCTAAGACTCTAGAACCTAGACAAAGAAAGAAAAAGAAACACAATGAAGAAATAAAGAAAATTTTACAAGATATATAAATTAGTCTTCCTTTACTCACTACTATTGAACATATTCTTGAATATGTTAGAGTTAATGAAATGTGTACACCAAAAAAAGCACCTAGAGTAGAAAAAATATTTATGCATACTAGTGCTTTATTATTAAATCAATTACCATATAAATTGAGAGATATTGATGTCTCTTTAATTTCGTGTGATATTGGTGGATCTATTTTTTAGAATACATTACTTGACACCGATGCTAGTATTAATATATTACTTACAAGTATTTGTGATAAATTTAATATTGATGATTGACGCAACAATCGTTGTATAGTAAAACATGCAAATTTAAAATTTATAAAACTAAAAAAATATGAATTTTCAAATATTTAGAAGTATTTCTGAACAAATATATCAATTATAATTCAATATAATTTGTAAAAATAGTGGTAATGTCGATCATAGGGATATAATATAATATCAGGTAAATATTCAGAAATTTTCTCAAAGAATATTATTTTTTATAAATTTTACACTAGGAAATGAACATGACATATATTTAAAATTCACGAAAAAAAATAAGGGTGCGAATGTCAGAATGATGTCGACGCCTGATGAACGCGAACAAACAAAAATAGAGTTCTACTTGGCAATTCTTACATAAGTGATTACAGATGATTTAAATGATCAAATTAAGATCCATAAAAGTTAAAAGAATTGTGATTGAATCTGTAAGTACAGCTTGATAAATTTAAATCATACAAATTATCACTAAGTGAAGTAGAAATTAAGTTGAAAGCAAGAAAATAGAGTTCCGATGTCACGGCGGCAATGCATTAGTGATGCACTAGAATCTTGAGCATTTGGAAGGATTGTCATTTAGTTTCCATGGCCTTAAAAACTCTCTTTGGACAAGGACAATATAGACAATCTCTAGATCTCTTTACAAAGTCTAGAGATCAATCAAATAGGTTATCGAATGATCTCTAGTGGCTGTCACTCAGCGGAGCAGAAAAGCGGCGACTTTGTGGCTCTCTAGCGGCTGTCACCCGACGGAGACAAGCTAGATGGAGGTGGGGCACATGTTAGGGAGCTTCATTCTCAGGTTTGCATAGCAAAAGAAGGCTCTTCATCACATCCGGTATGCTCTCAAGAGGTGGCAATTCATCTCCCACATAGCAAGTTCCTTTCTCCCATGTGTACGACCACTCCTTGTCCCATAGTTGGCTGGCCACCGGTGACGTGGAAAGAGAGTGACGCACATGTGCCCCTAATAGTCCTAGCCGCTCGAGCCCCTACTCATGACTCCTCCCCGACTACGCTTCTGACCTGCTTGTAGGTCTAGCTGACCAACAAGTACCCCCCATTTTGTTATATTTTTATTTTTATTTCTTTTTCTTTATTTATCTCAAAGTAAGATTATAAAAATCATATAAATTCATATAAAATCATATAATTAGACAAAAATTCACATTAATCAATTGAAAACCACTTCTCACACTTTAACACAAATATAAGTTTATTTATCATGAGTTAAGGCTAAAACTATATTATTTACTAATTATTAACTCATGATAATGAAGACTTAGCAATGATCTTAAACCTTTTACTATTACCTTAAAATTTGTTGATAGATTCATAAAACATCCTAAAGGTATTTTCGAAAATGTGATAGTGACAATTAAATGGTGTAAATTTCTAGCTGATTTTGTAGTGCTGGAAATATATTTTAATGGATAGTTTTATGATACACCAATCATCCTAGGGAGATTATTTTTGCAAACAGCAAAGATAAATATTGATTTTTCTATAGGTATTCCAAAACTTTTATGTGGAGATCAATTAGTACAAATTAAAAATTTTGAGGTATCAAATGATCTTAAGAAACCCTAAGTATATGATTGTCCTACCATAGATCTTCTAAATGATTTTGATGATCCAAATGTTATTGATGATTGTGTGCTAAAAGAATTAGAAGAAATAGAGAATATAAATTTGGGAGAAAAGAAAGAGGAAGGTCATTTGAATTTAGAGTTGAAACCTCTTCCCTCTATTTAAAATATATGTTTTTGGAGGAAAATAATTCATTTCCTGTTATTATTGTAGTTGATTTGAGTGATGAATACGAAGAATTATTAGATGTACTTCGAAAAAAAAAGAAGGCTATTGGCTGGAAAATGGATAATCTTAAGAACATTGATATGAGTGTATGCATGCATAGTATATATCAAGAGGAAGGGGCTAGAACTAGTAAGGAACCACAACAAAGATTAAATCCTAACATGAAGAAAATTATAAAAAAATAAATTTTAATGCTAATATAATTTATCTTATTTCAAATAGCAAATGGGTTAGTCCTACATAAGTGATGCCAAAAAAATCAGGGATCACAATTATAAAAAATGAAAATGAGGATGAATACAAATATGATTAACTATTGGTTGGAGGGTTTACATTGATTATAGAAAATTAAATTCAGTTACTAGAGAATATCATTTTTCCCTATCATTTACTAATCAAATTATAAAAAAATTAGCTAGAATTTTTTTTTTTTATTTTCTAGATGGATACTCTAGTTACAATCAAATTTATATCAACCCTTTATATCAAGAAAAAGTAACTTTCACTTGTCCATTTGGTACTTTTGCTTTTAAATGCATGCTTTTTGGTTTGTGTAATAGTCCAATCACATTTCAAAGATGTATGCCATCTATTTTTTCTGATATGACTAGAAAATTCATAAAAAATTTTATGGATGATTTTTCTATTTTTGGTGAATCATTTGATGAATGCTTAAATCATTTACAGCATATACTTGAGAAATATATAGAGAAAAAGTTAGTTTTGAGTTGGGAGAAATCACATTTTATAGTGAGAGAGGGAGTCATGTTGGATCATATTGTGAGTAAAAAGAGTTTAGAGGTCGACAGAGCAAAAATTAATATTATATCTAAAATTAAACCTCCGAATTTAGTAAAAAAGATTAAATCTTTCTTGGGTCATGCAGATTATTATAGAAAATTTATTCAAGAGTTTTAGAAAATTTCTAAACCTCTCATCATGTTATTATCTAAAGAGATGCCTTTTAATTTTGATGAGAAATGTTCTGTCTTTTTTTGAAATAAAAAGATTACTAATTGAGGCACCCATTTTACAAGCTCCTGATTAATCTTTCCCTTTAAAATAATGTGCGATGCATCGAATTATGTAGTGGGAGCCATTCTATGACAAAGAAAAGAATCAAAACCCATAGTAATTTCATATGCTACTTAAATTATATCCGATGCTCAATTAAATTATACCAACTGAAAAAGAATTGTTAGCTATAGTATTTTCGTTAAAAAGGTTTAGATCATATATTTTGGGAGCTAAAATTAGTAGTTATATTGATCATGTAGTATTAAAATATTTATTAAATAAGAAAGATGCAAAGACATGTTTATCAAGAGAGATTTTATTGTTGTAGGAATATAACTTAGAAATAAACAATAAAAAAGGTTTCGAGAATGTTGTTAGTGACCATCTTTCTAGATTGAGTAATATAGGAATAAATACAATACCTTTACAAGACACATTTTCAAATAAGTAATTGATGGCAGCTCAACATCAACCATCACAATGGTATGTACATATTGTTAATTTTTTGGTTTCTAGAATAGTAGGATAAGAACAATAGAATAGTAGGATAAGAACAGAAAAACATCATTTCTTTTCTAAGATTAGAAATTATTTTTGGCATGATCTTGATTTATATTACTTGGGCAATGATCAAATTTTAAGGAGATGTATTCCTGAAGAAGAATATCATAGCATTCTTAACATGTGTCATTCATCTAACTATGGAGAACATTTCTCTAGATGAAAAATAGCTGCAAAAATTATTTAGTGTGGTTTTTATTAACCTACAATCATTAAAGATTCTATATAATTTAATAGAATATGTATTTCATACCAATCTATAGGTAACATGAGTAAAAAAAATGAAATGCTCATGGGTAACATGTTAGTAGTTGAAATTTTTGATGTATGAGGAATAGATTTCATGAGTCCCTTTCTATCAACTAAAAAATATAAATATATTTTACCTACTATTGATTATGTGTCTAAGTGGGTGAAAGTTATTCCTACTAGAACTAATGATCATAAAATCATGATAAAATTTATGTAGAAAAATATTTTTTCAAAATTTGTATGTTCTAAATTTACTATTAGTGATGAAGGAATATATTTTAAAAATAAACATTTCAAGAAATCATTGAAAAAGAATGTACACCATAGAGTAGCCACTTCATATCATCCCCAAACAAGTGAGTAAGATGAAGTAACAAATACAGAAATTCAAGGATTTTGAGAAAAATAGTTAGACCAAATAGGAAAGATTGGCCCACAAAATTACAAGATGTATTATGGGCTTATAGAACAACTTATAAAAATCCCATAAGCATGTCTCCATTTCATCTCATTCTTGGAAAGCCGTGTCATCTTCTTGTGGAAATAGATTATAAAGTATTATGGGCTATAAAAAATTTATGTATGGATGAAAAATTAGTTGGTGGGCATAGAATTTTCCAGCTATATGAACTAGAGTTATGAAAATTATAGAATATATAAAGAAAAAACTAAAACTTTTCATGATAAATACATTAGTAGAAAAAAGTGTGGTTATATGATTCTACGCTGAAATTATTCTCAAGAAAATTAAAATCAAAATAGATAGGGCCTTATGTGATGGAAGAGACATATGATCATGAGGCTGTAATAATTAAAGATCTTAAAAGTGATCATAACTTTAAGGTAAATGAACAGTAGCTTAAACATTATATAGAACATGAATGCCTAGTAGAAAAATAAATTTATTATTAAAGAAATTTAAGAGTAAGACTAATGTGTTCAGCTGGAGACATTAAATTTAGCACTACATAGGAGGCAACCCATGGTCTTTACTTCATTCTTTTTTTTTTAAGCTTTGTCTTTCTTAGAATTTCATAATACTTGTTTCTATGTTTATTTATTTTTCAAAAAAGTGCAAGAGCAGGAGTGTAAGATGAAGTGGAAAATTAAAAACGAGGTTGAGGTGATGTCTTTCTGAGCTTTATCATTTATGACAACATTTTTAGTGCTTAACTTTGCATATATGCCTGCTTTACTTAAAAATTATATTCTCTGCATATTATGTTCTCATTTTTCTATGTTATTGAGGATAATTTCATTTTTAAGTTGGGGTAAAGTATTAATTCTTAATTTATGCTGTAGGATGATTAAAAACATGTGTTTGCATTTTTTTCATGCTCACTTAGAACATCAACAAAAAAAAATCAAAAAAGCTATAGCATCTATTTTCTATTTTTTTTGTCAAAAATAATAGACTGATAGATAATATGGATTTGATTTTATAAATTTTCACTTCATGATCTTGATGGATAATATTTACTTGATGTGAAAATTTGATTGATCATTTGAGTTTAATAGAGATTTTTACACCCTCATCTATAGGACTTGTGAGGAGAAATACTTACTTTGAAAAATAAAAAGAGAGAGCAATGTAAAAAATTTAGAAACAAAAAGTACATATAGGACATCATTCTTATTGTCAAAAATCGTGTATAGAAAAACACTTTTTGTAAAATAAGTGGATAAGTGAAAGCCCTAAAAATGAAAATTGCACATGGAGGGTGTGAGACATCATTCTTATTGTCAAAATTTGTCTATAAGAAAACCAACTTATCTACTATATAAAATAAAATAAAAAAGAAGAAATATATTATAAACTTCAAAAACCAAGCCATAGAAAAAAGAAAATATATGATCAATATTATTCTTGAATGAATATTAATAATTGAAATATGTTGTAAATACATCTATAAGTGAAGAAACAATAAAGATGTGAATAGAAGAAGTGAATTGTAGATTGTTATTCAAAAGAGTGTTTAAACATTTAAGTGCTAGACATCATTCTTAAATACTTGATATAAGAATCCAAAGTGTCTAAAGTGCATCATTTCTAATTGTATTTTTTTTATACATTGAAATATGATGTTTGAGATTTATGAATTTTTATTGTTGTAATTTCATTACTAAGTGACTAACAATGTTTTAAGTTGAGCGGTGTGATAAGTCTTCATTACTATAAGTTAATAATTAGTAAATAATATATTTTTAGTCTTAACTCATGATAAATAAATTTATATTCATGTTTAATTGTGAAAAGTGGTTTTTTATTGATTAATGTAAATTTTTGGCTAATTATGTTATTATCTATGAATTTATATAATTTTTATAGTCTTATTTTTGAGATAAATAAAGAAAAAAAATTTAAATAAAAATCTATCAAAAGGGGGGTACCTACAAGCTAGCCGAGCCTACAAGCAGGTCAAAAGTGTAGTCGAGGGGAGCCATGAGCTGGGGCTCGAGCAACTAAGATCGATGAGAGTAGGTGTGCACCACTCTTCTTCCATGTCACTAGTGGTCAATTGGCTATGGGGCAAAGAGTAGTCATACATTCGAGAGAAAGGGACTCATCCCCTACAAATGTGATATTTATCCAAAACTTTAGTACACAAACGATTTGAGATTAAGCCTGTGTCACACTTTTCTTTTGAAAGGTTTCAAAGATTTTAATATCTAAACTACCCTTTAGTTATAACAAAGATATATCATTATGATTTCACTTGATAAGGATATTAGAGTACTTATTTCAATCTCTCTTATATAAGCAGGTAATTGATGCAGGTTCGAATCCTCCTAGAGCCAAAACTTGTACTTTTATTTGATTATCGTGATTTTTCTATAGATCATCAGTAAACAATTAAGCTGCAAAAATCCTTGGATCATCAGTGAAAATCTCGTGAACACAATTCATGGAGCATTGTTACTAAAATTTTTAAAAAAATCGTGATAAAAAGATTACAAATCCATCAAGTAAATCATCTTTAATTGATTGACAAATAAGCCATCATCGAGAAGAGGATGATCTACTAGGAGACAAGTTACCACCTCTTGAGAGTGTACCAGATGTGATGTAGAGCCTCCTCTTACTGCATGCACTTGAGGATGAAGCTCCCTAATACATGCCCCACCTCCATTCAACTTCTCTCCATCGAGTGACAGTTGCTAGAGAGTCGTAAAGTCACCATTTTTTTACTCCGCCGGATGACAGTTATTGGAGATGATTTGACAGCCCATTTTATTAATTTCTAGACTTTGTAAGAAGATGTAAAAATTGTTCACGTCATCCTTGTCCAACGAGAGCCTTCGAGATTGTGGACACTATATGACGATCTTCTCAAATGCTTAAGATTCTGGTCCATCATCGAGGCATCACCGTCGCGACGTCAGAACTTTATTTTCTTACTTTCAACTTAATTTTCACTTCATTTGGTGATAAGTTGTGTGATTTAAAATTGTCAAGTTACACTTCATTCAATTATGATACTTCTAACTTTTACAGATCTTAATTTGATCAATTAAATTATCTGTAATCACTTACGTAAGAATCACGAGGTGGAACTCTATTTTTGCCCCATTTGCATTTGTCATGTGCTGATGTCCGCACCCTTATTTCCTTTTTTTGTAAATTTTAAATATATTACATTTTTATTTTTTAGTATAAAATTTATACAAAATTTTATATTAAAAAGTATTCTTTGAGAATAATATTAAAAAATTATCTGATACTATATTACATCCCTATGATTGACTTAAAAAATTACCACTATTTTTAGAAGTTTTATTGAATTATAATTGATGTCTTTGTTGAGAAATACTTTTAAATATGTAAAAATTAGTATTTTCTAGTTTTATAAATTTTAAATTTTTGTGAGTTACTACACAATAACTAAGTCACATCAATAAATAAAAAAATAAAATAATATATATTAAGACTAAAATAATAAAATATTATAAATACCATAATGAGTTCGTAACACATATATAGTTATATTTTTTATCCATTAATTAGCATCTATATATAAGATAGTAATACATAAATACAACTACTAATTTATAACTATCAAAGTGACAAACAAAAGAAGAAAGAATTCTAGTATGTTTGTTCATTTTCTCAACAAGTTTGATGCTTTCTCTCTCATTTTTTTTGCTGCATGATTAATGCCCTTGTGTGACAGTCACACAATAGGATTTGATCCTTTAAAGTGCATACTTTACTTTTTTATTTTGATTTCATACATATTTTCACTCCAAAGTTTAGTGTTCAACTTCTACGTGGCACCTTAGGTGTATTTTGTGAACTACTCTCTCATTTCATAATCATTTTCCTTCTCATTTATTTATTTTGATAGCTAACTTATTTATTAATCTTCAAACAACACTTTCGTAACATTTCATCCTATTTTTGAAAAATTCTAATGAAACTATTGAGGCTATTCTCCTGCCAATAGAACAACTCTACCAATTGGCCTTTTCAGATTCTTTTGATTGAATCTCTTATTTATGAATGGTTGGAGATCAGATTCTTTGTTCCTATGGATCATAAAACATCAAACTATAGTCTGAACATTGAAGATCTTGAACCAAACTCCATTTCTAATAGTTTGGATTCTAGAATAAATGTCACCCAACCTGCAAATAAAGAGTTACTAGGAGTTTAATGTCAAGAGTTTCTTGATGACTTGATTGTCTCCATTTTTTTGGATATACTTGAAAACCACTAATATTAAAGATTAATTATTAAAAACTTCAACACATAAATATCTTAAATTGATTCCTTACTTCACGACGATTAAGGCCCATACAAAAGTAGAGCAATTATGCAATTACAAAGTAGTATATTTAATTAAGAGTTGGAAAACTATAATTGAAGAATGTTGAAGCCTTGTTTTCCTCCTATTTTTATCCTCATAATTTCCAACCTTAAATTGTTTAGAACTTCCATCAATGCATTAGGAAAAGTTTCCCCAGATTGATGTACTTTTAAAACCCTCTTCAATTGGTCTCAAACAACACATGCTTAGTTTGAAGTAATTTCTTTGATTCATTGACAATTTTTATGTTCACATTAAATAGAGACATTTTAGATGGAAAATGGCATACTACTCGGTAAACATATATATATTGTGTGAATTAGACCCTGCAGAGTCATGCTTAGCATTAAGAAATCATCTTAATGATGGCAAGAACAAACTCATGGGGGTGACTTTAATGATGTTATGTCTTGCTAAGCACTGAAGCATTTTTTTTTGACATTGGCCTAAAACTTTAAATGTGAGCAACGGTGACTAAATTATTAGATAGTATACAATACATAGGAAAGTCAACTGCATAATTAGAGATTATATAAAGTGTTTTATGGAAAAAGAATTGAGATGTGCTACGTCACACATGATTTCTTCTTAGTGCTTCAATAAAAGGAACCCCAAGTCACAGGCATTGTCAATAGTTGGAGTTTGAAAACAAAAGATTGATTTCTTAGTCTAATCATAGCCAACACCGAAATCCAGCGAGAGCCATGAAGGAGGACGTATTGTCTCGTGGCCCTTGGGTTCTCACGAACAAAATCCGCAAGCAATTCAAGGGCATGCATGTGATATCGCGACGACTGTTGTCGACGTGTCGCGTCAAAAAGGAAGGTCTGGCGCTAAGGTCTCTATGACGTCATCTGTGGGGGGCCACAGATGGCGTCAGCTCCGGTATCGTCAGCCCTGTTCTTGGGCATCCCACCCGCCCTCCTGTATGCCGCCATTGTCCGGAGGTACAGCGGTGCTCATGAGAAAGTTATCGAATCCCGTGGATCTCCAACTTCTTCCTCCAGACGTCATATCAGGTGAAAGTTTTCCTGTGTATAGTGTGACAATGGCCAAGGTTGGTTTTACATTCCTTGCAGCATGTGAGAGACATCTACTCCCCTGATGATGCCTCTAGGGTTCTCATGAATCGAGTTTTGTGCGGAGACTGCATCTGTTCCAAGAGTGCCAGTGCGCATGTTTCAATTGCATTCCATTTCACTGTTTACGCAGGTAGCGGAACGATGCCTAAATGGAAGAGGATAAGAGAAGCAAATGCGACAAGAGGGAATCTACCTTGTGATTTTCCGGAAATGGAAGAAAAAGCTTTCAAAGCGATAGAAAAGAAAAAGGAAGGAAACCACCTAATAGGATAGCGAAATGAGATGCCTCACTGGCTCCCTAAGATCTCCCTCGGTTGAAATCGAGAATTGATTTTCCAGCTTTTTTCCCAGCAGAGTCGAGTTCCAGAACCCGCCGTCGTCTTTTAGGTTTATTCCTCTCTTTCTATCTCTATCTCTCTGTCTCTCTCTCTTCCCACTTTGCTCCCTTCGATCCTCTTCACCATTCTTTTCCCTCCGAGTTGCCAAGGATTTCTTTCTCTTGTCCAATGCATTTCCGGCCTTTTTCCGATATGGGGTAATGTCCGATTATAGGGCTCGTACTGTATCTTACGCCACTTGGGTACTCATCTGCTGCTTTAAATTTGGCAAAGCCACTCAGTTTTTATGAAACAAGGCAAAGATTCCAGATCCCGGGCTTCCAAACCCATAACAACATGTTCTTCTTGTTTGTAAATCTCTTTTCCCCGTAGGTGGATCATCCTTTCATTTTGTTGGGCACCGCTGGACCGATCAGCAAGCCATGTGGTGAGGCAAAAGAAGTCGGAGGACAGAGAAGGAAGGGATGGTGAGGGAGAAGATCAAGATTAGGAAGATAGAAAACACGACCACGAGGCAGGTGACCTTCTCGAAGCGGAGGAGGGGCCTGTTCAAGAAGGCGGAAGAGCTGGCCATACTCTGTGATGCCGAAATAGGGGTGATCGTCTTCTCCTCCACTGGCAAGCTCTCCGAATTTTTTAGCAACAGGTGCAGAGATCCTTTCCTTTTAGTCCTTTTAGTCCTTTTAGTTGGTGTTGCCTTCTCTCTTTCTTGCCGCATCCCTCATCCAGCAGTCCATATCCCGTTCGCGTGGGTGCAAGCGTTGCAGTTTATCGCATGCTAGTTGCGGAATTTTTCTCAGTGTGTCGTTGTTCTTCCTTTGCCTGTTTGTTGTGGCTCTCGAAACACCGAGGAGTTCTGGGGCTCTCGAAAGAGTGTGGAAGTGAGATGAGAAACACCGAGGAGAGTGGAAACTAAGGGACGTACAAAACGAGGAAGTTCTGGACAGGGTGCAGGGTTGCATTAATTGGTTGATTGATAGATAGATAGATAGATAGATAAAGATATGGAGAGATAGATCGCTACAGAGAAAGAGAGAAGCGAGAGAGAGAGATAAAGAGCAATCGTGTGAATCGTGAGGAAGAGATACGGAGAGGAGAGCTGTAGCTGAGCAAACCCAGAACGTAAATGATGAGGACACCCATCTGCATATAGATTAACTTTTATCCATTCTTGACACGTTCGAGTAGGGTGTGGCTTTGTCCCTCACCGCTTGAAAGGCAGACTATCAGTAGGTGGACTGTGAGAGGACTTAGATCGGCTAGTTTGGCGGATTATCTGTGAAAATTAAACTTTTCGTGTAATTTATAAGTTGAACTGACCTTATCCTTAGCCTCTGTGATTTTTATCTCCCATGAAAATTGTTCCCACTCTAGGGGAATGATCTCGTTAATAGCTAGCATAACGTTAAACTTTTTCTTGCTTTCTTAATAAAGAGGTGGGATCTCGTTCCCACCTTTTCGTTAATAGCCGTTTGAAAATGAACAGGACATGATTTATATTTTGTAGATAGCATCTCTGATCTTCTGCAAGATACTGAACTGTTCACTGAATTGCAAAGTCCAACAGAGTCATCTATGTTGTAAGACATATGAAAGAGAGTAGGAAATTGTTAAGCATCCTGATCACCAACTGAGAATACGCAATCTTTCAGTAGTATTGTCCTGATGGTTGATTAGATCGTAGCACAGTGTTGACTATTTGTTTTATCCCGCATAGCATGAAAACCTACATTTTAGATGTTCTTGTAGGCTTAACAACATTGAGTTCTCTGAGAAAGTAATAGCAAATTCGGATTATTTCCAGTCTTTTGAGAATTCATCTATTGAGGAAAATTTATAAGCTAGATTTTATGTCCCATATTTAAGAAGAGAATATAGGCTTTAGTGACGCTAAGCTTCTCTATTAGGTGTTTTTGCTGGATAACATGATAACCTAAGATATTGTCATGGAAGTAAAGAAGTGTTCATCCATATTTGGGACTCGACTACTTTTCTCTGTACCAACTAAAACTTATCACTGTGTTCTCATTTAATTTACTCAAGTGTGATATCCCTAACAATGAAGAAAATCATTGAGGTATTAACATCATTTACCAAAGTCTCTGGGTAGTTCAATGAGCTACCGTACTTATTTCATGTAAATTTTCTCAGTATTTTGTGGAGTGACATAAGATGGTAAGAAGGCCTGCACTACTATATCCTTGCTCACACTATGTATTTCCTGTTTTATTTGCAGTATGAAGGAGACAATTGAAAGACGTAAACTGCATTCAAAGAATGCTGTGAAATTGGTTCCACCATCTCTTGAACTTCGAGTAAGTTTTCATGTCCCATGCTTTGGTAAGTTTTATGGTTATGTGAAAAAATAGATTGAGCCTTGAATCAATGAGGCACTAATATTGAATTTAGAAAGTAGGTCTTGAATCTACAAGATTTAGAATTTGAATCCTCGTATCTCTAAGGATTGACCAAAGTGACCCTTAAATTCACAAGGATCAAAATAATTTTCCTGAATCCACAAAAATCAAATAGCTTTCTTGAATCCACAAGGGTTGCTTGAATCCACAAAAATCAAATAGCTTTCTTAAATCCACAAGGGTTACTTGAATCCACAAACATCCATAACTCTTTCAAAGAGAATAAAAATTATAATAAACGAGATGTCCTCAAAGTTACAACATGCTAGTCTTTAAATATGCTCAAATCAATTGTAACTCTCATGGAAAATAATATCTGTCACAGAAACAAAGTTTAAATGACCGAATAGTAAGATAGTTACTACAATAACCACTCTGTCATATTTTTCACGCATTTTACTTTTGCCTAACCTAGTTTGTGCCTTCTTTGGCAATTCTGATTTTTGTATACCACACTTCACATTTTTAGAATTCCTAGCCTACCAATTTAAGACTTTTCATGGTCGTGCATACTGTTCCATATCACTTTCATTTGGCGCCTTCAAGTATTTTTAGTCCACATTTTTATGTTTTCACACAACTTGGTTGAAAAAAATTTCGTCTTACTTTGTTTTTGAAGTGATGTCCTACATTGTTCCCCAACTAGGGCATAAATAACTATGAAACGAAAGCACTGAGGCATATCATCTCATGTATAAATAGTGAGTAGCATCCAAAATTGTAGTCATGCACTCGGTGCTGGAAATTTATCCTTTGCAAGTTCTATCCATCTGCTGGTACTCATCACACAGAGACGGCTTCATTTTGTTTCAGTCTGTTCATCCTTCCATTATAAATTTGCAAGTTCTATCACGTTACTGGTACCCATTTTTTTGCCTTCATAGCTCCAAGATAGCAACCGTGAATCACTGAACAAGGAAGTTGTGGAGTCCACCTTAAAGCTCAGGTATGCCATTCCGATTGGAAGTGAATCCGAGTTGGTTGCAGGGTTGCTCAAATCAGGCCTTCATCCTACTTTTAGGCAAATGAAAGGGGAAGATATTGGAGGACTTACACTGGAAGAGCTTAAGAAGTTGGAGAAAGAACTTGAGACCGGATTGTGCCGAGTTCTGGCGAGAAAGGTATGTGTGTGACTTATTTTCGATTACTTTGAAGGTAATCTAGGGGCAGATTTTATTCTTCGGTTATATCCACTTCCTACGGTCAGAAAGTTGTTGAAGAAATAAATGAGCTACAATATAAGGTGGCTAATAGATGCAGTCTTGTTTCTTATTTAGCCTTTTACTTTATCTTTCTTTCGACTTCTTCCTTTTTATGGGCAAATGTGAATCCTACGGATAGGATGGGCAGAACTGCATCTTCGATCAATTATTGTCGTTCCTGGCCCCTGAGATTTATACATAGCCCTAAAATCTCATAGTCATCCTTCTTTTCCATCATGGAAGCACTGACACACAGCTGCATACAGATAGTTTCCCATTCCTGGAAAACAGCTGGTCCCATGGGCTATAAAAATAAACAGTTGGAAGAAATCAGACTCTGCGAAATCGTAGCCGCTTTGCCCCTTGTCTTTCATTGTCTAAATAGGGAACATGCTAACTGATGTTGGACATCAGTTCACATAAAGAGATGGGCCAAATGTTTTGGCCCAGGTGACCTAGAACTAGTGGGTTAGCATCTAGCGTGCTTAGAAGTTGGGATGCAAGGATTAGAAGACCTGAAAAGGCTCAATCCAAATGTTACCCATAATGAAACGTGTCATAAACCTGCCAGATATCGGTTTTCCCGCTTTTATTTTATTTTCATACTTTTAAGTTGTTTTGAATTTGTTTAAATATTCCTTAAATATGTTTTAATGTTCCACTTTTTTTGGTCACCCTAAAGAGATTCCGCCTATTTAATGGCCCAACATTATAACCCCAGAGGCATTCTTCAGTATTCCAAAAATAATTCTTCTTGTGAGACTCTCTCTGCTTGTAGATCAATCGCTTGCCCTATGGATTCAGGGTCCTTTTGATCTTTTAGAATTATGATCGTTCTCCTGTGATTTTAGGGTCAAAGATTCCAAGTTATGTCGATTCAGGAGAATGTTGTTTATAGAAATTATCTTTCTTGTAGATTCAATGATGAAATTTCATCTCCACGCCATTCTGGGTGAATCATTAATTGACCAACCTTTTCAATGACTCACAACCACACTGAAATGATGGTAGGTCTATTAGCTCTACATCCTAGTCGCCTCTCTAGCTTGACCTCCCAGGTTAGACCCACCTTTTCTTCAACCTTGTTAAAGAGGTGGGGAGGGTCGTCACCTGGTTAAGAACTGCAGAAATAGAAAGCGGTGCTAAAGCTGAAGTAAAAGTAGCAGTCACCTTTGTTGACGTTCATAGAGGATGGGTTGAAATTGAAGTCAGAACATGAGTTTAAATCAGTGCGGTGGAGGGCGCCATTGACGCTGGGGGTAGGTAGTAGATACCAGAGCTTAGCAAGTGCAGTGAAATCCCGTAGTGAATGCAGAGTAAAAGACACCTGCGTGCTACTCCGGCTTTAAGGCTAGACTATCACTCTTTAGATATCACTGTTGAAGCAGTAGGTTGCTTCATCGTCTGGAGCAGCAGGACAATAACCTTGAGCGTAGTACGTTGCAGCAGAGGTCAGAAAAAAGCAGTCTCGACAGCAGTTCTTGTCCACCCGTGGTTTTTTTTTCTGAAGAAGACTCTCAAAGAAGAGAACACGTCATGGTGTCTCGGAGTTCCTCTTATCATGGCATTTAGGCGGAGACGTTCTTGATGAGTTGCGGAAGCGGGTTGTCCCTCAGCGTTCAGAAAAACTTATCTGTATTCTTCCTCTTGAAGAAGACCACAAGGAGAGGGAGAAGGAAGAGGATAAAGACCAGAGGCAGCATCTGAATTGTGGACGTCCACAACTACAGACCAGCGCATGTGTGAGCTGCTGTTGCTTCCTATCTTATCTTCAAAGTATGAGAGGTTGACTGTTGGCGACATGGCAGTTGCAGAATTGGCAGCGGCCTAAGATAGCCAAGAAACCCTAGCCCTGAATCCTCCCAACTTTACCTACATGGTCCTGATGCAGGTGAAGAGACTCGCACAGACACCCAAACTCTCAGAGACGACTCGCTAATCCAGCACCGTTTTTGAACCGTGTTCTTAGGGACTCCCAAAGACGAGCAATAATGGAAACTTTTGAACTGTTCTAGGACAACAAAAGTAGTGTTCGTCTGGTTTCTGGTGCTCTGAGTTTCCTCAGTTGCTGCACAACGACAATGTCAACTATTTACTTCTTCTTCGTTAACTTGCTCACACAAAAGCTTTTCCAGTCTGCTTTCTTTACTGCGAATAGCCACTGCTTTTCCCACTATGAATCAGTTATTTTATGTTTATATGCTTCGAAACTATTTACGTTTCTAGGATGCCCCTTTATCACAGACACATCATGAATTAGCCAAATAACATGGTTTTCCGAGCTGATTCTTTCTGGTGTTTGTTCAAAGGGTGCGAAACTGATGGAGAAGAATGCCCTTATGAGAAAGGAGGTAATTGGGCATCTTCTCATTTTGCTTCCCAGACTTCATCTCCCTAATCGATGCAAGCAGAACTCACCCATCAGTGGCCGGTCAAAACAGATCGCATCCTCAAGCGGCAGAAAACAGGCGGCAGATTCTGAGAGCGCCGTATGTGAAGACGGACAATCAAGTGACTCGATAAAGAACGCCTCAAACTCTGGGCCACCTCCGAACTGTAGCGACGGTTCAGATACTTCACTTAGACTCTGGTATGCTCCTGAGGAAACCTAAATATTTTACCACTCTTTTTCCGTTTTTTTTGATTTAATTTTAGCTTTACTTATACTCACGAGCGTTTGACATTCAATATTGAACTCGAATGTAGCGACATAATTCTGTCAGCAGTGGGGGGGGTATGTGAAAGTAGTTTAATGCTTATCAAAATCAGCTTTCTATTGTAACGTGATTTTTCAATGTGTTTTGGTTCTTTGTTAATTAATCATGTTTTTTTTACTGGGAACTTATTATCTTCAGCCTTTGTAATAGATTTAAGAGAATATTCTCTTTACCACGTTCTTTGCTTCACTTCTTAGTTTCAGTAAGTTTTGGATAATCCCTCTTGACTGACGTTTGAGTAAACTACATCCTGCGGATAGAGAAATATCTTGGACTGGCATCCATGAAATACAGCTTCTGTGATATAGTTTGAACTTTTTACTTTCCATTAACATCGTATTCTCTCTTTATTTGATAATTTCTTTCTAAACACTGCATCACCAGGGGTTTAGATTCCATATTTGTATCAGATCAGTGTTCAAGTGAGCGAATAGCTCATTTATTCACGATTTTATGAGTAGAATGGGTCTCTTTTATTTTCTGAAATGTCTTTGGCTACTCTTGTCACCTAATCAGGTTATTTCTGCGTTATAGGCTTGAAGACTTTTGCTTTCTATGTTAGACGTTTATTTCTGATATTTAATTTATTGCCATGAGTGCTAGCCTTACCGTTATCACAATACCTTATTATTTGAGCAATCATCTACCTTCTAGATGTATAACCAATGACGAAGATGAAACAGCAACCATATATAAATCACAACTTGCAATTAGACCACGCAAGTCCAATACTTTCGATAGCCAATTATGAATGCGCTGCACTCAATAGCGGGGTACAGACATTCTTGAACATACTTAGTTAGCCTAAACATCCTCAGGATCCATTTGGTTTATTGGCATTGATGCTATGGTCCTTGAAATGGTCAGGTCAAAAGGTTTTACCCGGCAGAACAGTAACCTTTGGACTGGGTTGGATCCGTGAATCTTGAAATGATGGGTTTTCCAGACAGAGGGTGAATTCACCCGCGAACAGGCTATATAGCCTTCTCCTTGATGGTTTGGATTGGCCTAATAGCTCTTCACAGGTTTCTTCAGGCTCCCACTGCTCTATCTTTGAACCAGTTAGTGGACTTTGCCTTAGTTTTTCCGTTGGCCGGCCTGCCTCCATTTTATTTTGTCGATGTTGTCCTGTTTTATCAACATTTAATGAGTAAACTTGATACGTCGCTGTGTATTTCTATGAACGCCTTCATAGAATTTCTGCGCTAATGACGTTCTTTTCTTCACTGCTTTGTTTCTTCCTCACTGGCTAAGAAAATCTCAGCCGATTTTTCTGTTAACTATGCTTTTACTGGCCGTAACTCTGTGGATATGATGCTGTCCCCCCTTTCCGATTCCAGCTCGAGTGGGGTGTGACAAAGTATTCAAATAATCTGTCAATATTGGTATGGCTGATGGTGGAAGATGAAGCATTGACAGAGGAGAAGAGAGGAATATATATGGTTAAGAAATGTTATTTTCCGCATGACAAAAATGGTTTAGTTGAATGAGAATTTCCTTGCAAGTCAACTAGAATGGAGAAAACACCGCCCAAACTTTACTCAACTTAGGAACCCAGTGAGAGGAACAGAGGAGGAGCTTTCTCAACTTACTAATGTGGGTTTCTGGGTTCTTTTTTCTCGTACAGGTTGCCCTTCTAAGACGTAAGAGGCTCTCTTTCTTGCTTCCTGAGCTTCACTTGGTCGGCAAATCATGCAGCAAGAAAGAGGATGATCACTTCACTTCATCATGGTATATGTAGTCAACGTACATTACAACAGAGAATATGCGACTTATTAGCCAGCATTCAGGAGAACCGTCTCTTCTTCTGAATGTACATGGTTTGTTGTTGCATGGGGTCATTCAACTATGAGAGCCTTTGCAGGCAAAAATGAAGGTTCTCACGCGGGCAGGCCAAAAACAGCAAAGCGTAGAAGCTGAAGATGCCCATTATTGTTTCTTCTCGGCCCATCAGCTAGTTGCTTAAGGGATATCAACGTCGAATGAGACCCGTCTGATGTCAATACTGACTTTGTGGATTTGTGGAGTTGAAGACTGGGAGGAGCTATATTCTATCTGATTATATTAAATCTTGAACGTCAGAAAACCATAAAAGAAGTCTGACCATGAATAAGAAAGAATGAAGACGAGAGACCATGTAAATCAGTTATTTTCCATGATTATCTCTGGTCATAAATAACATTTAGGTTTCTGGTAAATTTTCTCAATCATACAAGCACATGACTTGAGACAACATAGTGATTCTAATCAAATGACATGGCATTTCCCATACAGTCTTGATGACTGAGTATGACGTTTGGATTGTGATTACATAGAAAACCCTAATAGCTGACACTATGGGAAATATTGAGCCACATTTATGGGGTTATTTATGTCTGCTGTTTGTCAGCAACCAGTAGTAGGATGTGCACATTTTAAATTAGTAAAGATAAACAAGTATTCAGCTGAAATAGTTTTCCACTTATTTCTACCATGAATAAATATATTACAGAAAAAGGGCCTAACTTGAATTGAAGGAAAATATTGATTTCACTAGCAGATATCATTAAGATAATATAGATTTTGTAGGCTCTTTCTCTGAATTTCATATTTTGTATGCTAAATATGACAAATTTTCATAATTTTCTGATGTTGTGAATGTATTCACTTTACAAAGAGCTTTAGTTGTGAATGTATGTCATGAGATTTATGCTATGCTCACAATGATAGAGATGCTAAATGAAATAATGAACATATAAATAACTTGGAAAATTTATACACCAAGTGATAGTAAATTTTAAGCAATATCATGGACTAATTGTCAGCAACAGTTCCATGAGGATTCACTATTTACTACAAATGAAATCATGTTTTGTCCTGTGTTGAGAATGGAAGTCTACTTATAAATAAATTGGTCCTCCATTAAGAAAGCTAAGCATGTAATAATGGTTCCACCACTTGGTAAAAGAGAAAGAAAAGTTTTAACGGTTACCACAAATCATACATTTGATAAGTTATGGTTGATGGTTATTGATCACTTTGAAACCAATTTGTTCTCTAAAAGACAGAAATTCATACCCATAGGAATGATCTTGATCATTATTAAACAACTTCTGCAACAAACTTTTCATGTATAAAAAGGTCCAACAGTTGTAGGATGCTTTGCTTACTGGACCATTTTACTTCACTCATACAATACAAATATGAAAATATTCATAGAAACAACTGACTATATTACTTGAAATCAAATATCGAATAGGTCATTTAAATCTTAGGTTGAGGTTGGAATCATTGATGATGGAAAACATAAATTTTTATATTGGAAGTATGCTTTCATTATGGTTATAGATAGGCATTTAGTTTCCAAGAAGGTATTTTCAAGATAGACATGATCCAACAAATCAATTTGAAAAGATGTTTGTAGCACTTGGATAGGCAATAGTTGAATCATAAGATGTTTGTAGCACCTAGATAGGCAGTAGTTGAATCATAAGATGTTTGTAGCACTTGGATGAGAACATCATTCCTCTAAGGTGAAACCGATAAATAATAAACTTTCTCACACTAAAACTAAAAGAGAGGTAGCCACACTATCTGATATACTAGTTATAAGCTAATTTGTGAAGTTTAGAGTGCACATGTGAGAAGATCAGTTGCTATCTAACACAATCAAGCTTGGACAATAGGTGATGATGTTCAACTGAAAATTAATAAAAAAAGCAGGCAACGAAAGATAATGAACTTTGGAGGAATGATTTTGTGCTCATAATCATATATTGTCTCATTGTTGGCATCATGTGCTTAACTGAAAAGTGCTCTCAAACTCAAAAACTTTGTAGCACTATAAATTTTCGTATAAAAGCAACAAAAACAACATCTAATAAACTAAAAGTGAAATGTTACAGTTTATTTTGATTATACCTCTAACAGCTTCTAACAGCTTTTAGCTCTTCACCCTCCTCGGCAACTGCAGCGACCCAATCTCCAACTCTGGTCTTCAAGATCCATGCCCTTTATCTGGATCACAAATAAACTAAGGAAACAAATGGCAACGGCTGATCAATGTTCTCTGCCCATTTTCCAGCAGTTTCCCCCCCCCCCCCCAAAACAAGAACAAAATAGTACTATCTCGCCACTTCTCTTCTAACTTCTTCAACAACAGGAGCTGGCGTGTTCGAGGGGGCCTCGTCTCCTGGTCCTTCAGCTTTTCACGAGCCAAAAAATCCGCGCAAAACCGAAGGACGGCTGGCGTCCGCGTGGTGCTGTCAAACGGTAGCAGGGTCTGGGGAAGGGAGCCCTCATCGCATCATCCTCCGGTTGCAGATGGCGTCAGCTCGGCTAGCGTCAGCCCTGTCTCCCTTGTGCGCAACACAGCGGCGCTCGTCAGAAAGTTTTTCGGCTCCCGTGCATCTCCCTCTTCTTCTCTAGACGTCATGTCACCACCTCTCTCTCTAGCTGTACAGAGCATGGATCAACGTTTTACAAAGCTCAAGATTGGTTTCGTAGTCCTTGCAGCTTGGCAGGGATATCTACTTCACTGATGATGCCTCTAGGGTTTTTATAAATCGAGTTCTATGCGGAAATTGCATCTGTTTTAAAAGTTCCTGAGCGCGCATTTGAATTGGATTCCATTTCGCTGTTTACGTGGGTAGCGGAACGATTTCTAAAACGACAGTGAACAACACGAACTGCGAAGAAGAGTAGAGAAACCGATGGGAAGAGAAGGAATAACTTTTTGAGACAAGAGAAAGAGCGTACGATAGAGGAAGAGAAGGGGAGAAAGGAAGGAAACAACCTGATTGGATAGCGAAATGCGACGCCCATTGGCTCCTATTGGTGGTATATCCATCTCTATCTGAAGAGCACCGAAGGGGTGGAGGGTGGGAGGAAACAGCAACCCGAGCTCCAGAAGCGGCCGTCGTCTTTTAGGTTTATTTCCTCTTCCTCTCTCTCTTCCCACTCTGCTCGCTTCTGTCCTCTACCCCCTTCTTTTCGCTCAGAATTGGCCAGGATTGCTCTCTCTTGTCGAATGCATTTCCCGCCTACTTCCCATATCCGGTAATCCCCGATTATAGGCTCCTTCAGCCTGTTAGACTATTTGGCACTCATCGGTTGTTCTAAATTGGGCAAAGCCGCACATTTCTTAGTAAACAAGGGAAAGACTGCAGAGATCAGGGCTTCTAAACTCGTAGTAATCTGTTCTTCTTCATAATGTTAAATACCCTGTAGGGGGATCGTCCTTGCATTTTGTTGGGCACATTTGGATCCAATTGCGAGCGATGTGGTGAGGAGAATGAAGTTGGAGGGAGAGAAGGAAGGCATGGCGAGGGAGAAGATCAAGATTAGGAAGATAGAAAGCTCGACTGTGAGGCAGGTGACCTTCTGGAAGCGGCGGAGGGGCCTGTTCAAGAAGGCGGAGCAGCTGGCCATATTCTGTGATGCCGAAGTGAAGGTG